CATGGCCTTTTGCATTTATCTGCTCTCCCAGCATGAGCATATACAACACCGCGCTTACGAAGAGACCGTAGCAATGCAGGGACGTGAAAAGGAAACCATGCGTTACTTGGAGGCGGTGATAAAAGAAACGCTACGCATATATCCTTCAGTACCATCCTACTCACGCAAAACACAAGAAGACTTACAAATCGGTAATATAACAGTGCCAAAGGGTGTCGCTATCAGCATACTGGCCTATATGGTACATCGTGATGAAAATAATTATCCAGAACCCGAAAAATTCAACCCGGAACGATTTTTAGTCACCGACAAAGAGTTGCATCCATTCGCTTTCGTAGCATTTAGTGCAGGACCAAGGAATTGCATTGGTAAATGAAATTAAAATATTTTATTAAATTTTCAGTTCTGCAATCAGTCATTAAATTTAATTTCTACTCGCTTTTAGGTCAAAAGTTCGCTATGCTGGAGTTAAAGCTTGCGCTATCGTCTCTTTTACGAAGTTACGAATTGTTGCCAGTGAAGGATTTCGTACCTAATCCGTTGGCAGAGTTGGTGATGAAAAGTGGAAATGGCATACAGATACGTATGCGGCCACGAAAATAAAATACCGTTACCAATTTTTAACGCATTTATTGATTTGTACCGCCTTGTGATATTGTATATTAGTTGTTAAAAACTATGTTCTAAATAAATATTTTTCTTTTAATCGTATGACCTGACAACTAGCCTCAATACAAAATGCAAACTTCTCTTTATATCCTTCACAGAGTATATTAATTTTGCGACGATATTTGTAACACCCAGAAGGAATCAGCGGATATCCTATAAAGTATAGACTAGTATACCAATACAAATGACAAGCTTGACATGCTGAGCCGATTTAGTCATGTTTCAGTTTTTGAGATATCAACTTGAAATTTTGCAGACGTCCTTTTCTTTCCAGGAAGCTGCAAACTTTTCGGAACCCTCAATAATTAACAACCAGCATATAGTTTCCATACAAACTGAACGATCGAAGTCAAGTGTTTGTATGGAAAAATTTCTCACTTGACAAGGTATCTTCAAGAAATTTGGCATCTTAATCAAGGCATCGTTCCAATCACGTAAGATATTTTTCAGTTCGTACTACTATAGCACGTAGGAGCCACACAAACTGAACGCTCAAAATCGCAATAAAGATAACCTATGTCATAGCTTTGTAGCAGCCGAAGTTAACATTTTTTTTTGTTTGTTTAAATGTATATATGTGACCTGGTCTACGAAAAGGGGGCTAACGTGCGAAAACTAGTTTTCTGGGAAACAGCTGTTAAAAATAAACAACTCGTTTATCAACTAAAAAGTGAAAATTGATTTTTTGACACCTAAGCCCCCTTTCCGTAGACCAGGTCACATATATATATAGTCAAACTCAATAGGAAGAAGTCCACACTATATACATAGGTGCGACTCTGTTTCTACTAATATCATACTATCTAGTTTTTATTATTTTATAGCTAATGATAAAGCGTTGCAGTACAATCGACTTAAAGCTTGTAGATTTTTGAAAATCTTAAACCATATATAATATTAGTTTCTTTTCGGGTAATAGTGGTTTTTCAATTTTTTTCTGATGTGCAATTTGTTGACCAAAATCATATATACAGTACTAATAAAATAAATAAGTGGCAGTAAATTTAAATTTCCACCTTTCTATCGGGTCATGTAATAGTGAAAACAATGAAGAAATTTGCTATATTTTGAAATTTTTGTATAAAAAAGGGAAGAATGCCACGCAAGCCACCAATTAAATTTGTGAAGTTTACGGAGACGATGTTGTATCAGTTCGTGTAGCACAACAATGGTTCGCTCGCTTCCGTTCCGTTGGATTTAAACTGATGAAAGTTTTACACAGATGGCATAATGTCTCTAGCGGAAATATGGCAAAAAGTGGTTGACCAACATGGTACATATTTGTTTAATTCTTTATTAGTATAAAAATAAAAAAAAAATAAAAAAAAAACAAGAAAGGAAAGGCTAAATTCGAATTCAATCAATCGCAAGAATCAATGCCAGGAAAGTGTAAAACCAATTATATAGAGTGAAGTCAGCCAGGTGTTAGAAAAATTGATATTAGTTATATAGAGCATAGGCCAAGCTTTCGCTCAAATGTATTTATTTTAAGCACGAAGATACACTATTATGAGTAAAACACGCTTTCTTATTTTCATTGAGATAACTCACATATTGGCCGATATATGCGGTACAAAGTCACCCCGAAGTTCGAAAATCTTTATATTAACTCTATGGGGCAGAGAACTTAAAACATAGTTTAATAAAAATAATAAAATAATAATTAAAAACATTTTTTACTACCAAAATTAAAATATAAATGAATTCATTGCATACTTTTCGGTTGAACACCTACAGTTGTGTCCAGTAAGTAAGATAAGGTCAAATAATTTAGCTTTTGGGCAAATATTTTAACTCATTTCTAATCTCTACCTCACAAAAAAATTTTAATTAAATTTATTGAATTTATGATATAAAATGAAACACTGAAAAAGGCATAAACTGTTTTAATGAAAAAAAAAAAAAATGAATATTCAGGGAACTTTATAATTCATCACGCACAATTAAACGTTTTTAAAATAATTTTCCAACGCAAAATGGCGGCTGTACTGACTTTTATTTTTCAAAAAACAAAATTTTTCTTCTTTCGAAATAACTACTTGGGTGACTCCTACAGAAATTGATTAACAACGTCGAGTATGATATGATGACTGTAGTGGCGTTGAGGCTGACCAAAATGACCTAACATCATGAGTCTGCAGGCCATGAGCATTGCATCACACTTCACTTGAATATGTGTTCGCCGGATATCGAGCTTAACCTCCAGAGGCTTTGTCGATTTACATTCTATTGCATTGATGTAGTTTCTATTGCGTTTGTAGTCCGCGTTAAGCAGATCTATGCACCTGTGCCAAGGGTTTAATGCGGCATTTTTTCGATAATCCCATCTATTAAACCACCGCTCCATATATTACTATAGAACGGATGATACTTGCGTAAAGTCAATGGACCATGTGAGGTCCCAACCTATTTAGTTGCAAGGAGTTCCAGTTTTGAAATGTTCTACCCCTTCAAGATAGGAGATGAATTGCGAAAATTTTGTCAGATTTCAGATTTTTGTCGGTAACGACTTTAAATATGTTTTAATCAGTTTTACATAAAAAGTATAAGACATTGAGATTAAAAATAATAAAGGCCAAGCACTCTTTTAATTAGAAATTATCTTACTTACTTTCGAACGTTTTTTCTTCCACCTCTTCCCAAAGAATTCGGGCGATATTGCTGCAATTTCAAGTTCGATATTCGTACGAAGTTCATCGTACGTCTGTGGCGTCAAATCGCAAGGCCGAGGCAGCCAATTGACTGGGCAATTTCGGGAGATGGCTCACGTTCACCAAACTTAATTTTCAATAAATCTAGTGGGGCTTGTGCCGCCGTCCTGTTGGGACCATATATTGTCCAAGTCCATATCAGCCAACTTGGGCAAAAAATATTCGGTTAGCATTGTGCGCTAGCGATTCCCATCCACAGTAACGTGTCGGTCTTGATCATCATGCAAAAAATACGGCCCAATAATGCCGTCGTCCATAAAACGTTATTTTTTTCTGGATACAATGCTGACTCATTGCGTACGTGTGGATTACTGCCTGACCAATAAGCATATTTTGCTTACTGACGAAGCCACTCAGTCAGAAAGGAGCATAAGGCGTTGAAGATGAATTTTTGATGAAAATTCGGATTATTTTCAAGTTGTTGGTCAGCATAATTCAATACGCGATGCTGGTGGTTTAGCCGCTTCAGTTCTTGCGTCAATTAGACCTTGTAAGGATGTAGGCCAAAATCTGAGAGATGCCCAACGTTTGAGAACGACGTGTGAGAGACCGATTTGGGTCTTCCTCATTGATGCGCTAGCGACAGTAATAATCTCGACACTACGGGCACTTTTTGTCTCACTGACACGGGAACATTTTGTGGATTCAAATTTTTCCACTAGAAGCTCAATTGTTGATCTGACAGGACGATTATGACGACCACAAATTGAACGTAGCGCTCTTAAAGTTGAGTCTACTGACTCCGAATTACGGTAGAAAATGTTAATAATTTCGACTCGTTTTTGGACCATATATCTTTCCATAATCATTTGGCAAACATTACTGAAGACAAATGCCAAAAGAGCGGGAATATATAAGTCGTCCCTATCGAACTTTTTTTGTAACGTTCCTATTGCAAACCCGTTACATCTTGAATATACGCATATTAAGCTTACCAGGGAGTTTGTAATGCACAGAAGGAAAGTTTGAAGTATATGTACAGTGTCTACAATTACATCCCCAAAAATTGACCGTTTGTTGCGAACCAATGAACGATTGGAATCGAATGCTGGTATGGAAAACATTTTCATTTGAAAGAAATTTCAGTTCGAACTACTACAGCGTATATGTAGCTGCAACGGAGGTTGAACGAAAAACTATTTTATCTGTCAAAGTATCTTCATGAAATTCGGCATAGATTATTATCCAAGGCATTGCTAAAATTTTCGAACATTTTGTTCAGATCGGATCAGAAGCTTATAGCTGCCATCCAAACCGATTGATATTTTTATAGTATATTTTTTACTATAAAAATGCAACTGTGAATGTCAATATAATTTCAGTGCAGCCAAAGTTCACGTTTTCGCTTGTTTCTTTTCTATATTATAGTTTTTTGTTATTTTAGTAATAATTTCAGAAAAGAGCAATAATAATACCGTTAACTCAATACTAGACCCTTAATTGCCAACTAAAATTAAAGAATGTTTTGCACAGTGTTATCATTTATTGTTTTTATTTACATTGTATTTGATTATAAATACACGTAAATAAGAGTACATAAAAATGCCCATGTATCAATGAATCGCTTTATCGCCAGCGATAAAAAGACGCACTGCTTAGCTCAGTTTGCATCTAACTGCCTCCAGTGGCGGAAGCGTCGTTGCTCGTTATTCCAGTTTACAAGCAGAAAAGTGCGTGTGTTGCTATTTAGATCGTTTTAATACTTAGTTTTATTGAAAAACACAAACAAGTCATACAAATGAACGCTTTGGCGTTGATCGCTTTCGCGCTCTGGGCGCTTTTCATGCGCTACTTGTCGCACATCGTAGAATTTTTACGCATTAGGAAGTTCGCGTCTACCATACCGGGACCGAGTATTGGCGAACTGATCGAGAATGCGAAAAAAGGACGTGAGTGTAAAATTGTTATTGAATATGTGGTGATTAGTCTTTGGAAAGAATTTCAGGCATAGACCCCAATATACTGTGCATAAATATTTCGTTAAAAAATCATCAAATTTTTAAATTCAATAATGTGAGCAAAAAATAGTAAGACTTTTTTCATAATTTTAGAATTCTTAAAAGTCTTTGTTGGAACTAAATCTGCCTAAATGATGTTTGAAAATGGTTTTCACCGAGATCTCGGACTTGTAACATTCAATTCACAAGCGCCAATTCCTTTATATTCTTGACGTGTTGACTATCACTAGATGTTGATTTTTATACTCTCGCAACAAAGTTGCTAAAGGGAGTATTATAGTTTTGTTCACATAGCGGTTGTTTGTAAGTCCTAAAACTAAAAGAGTCAGATATAGGGTTATATATACCAAAGTGATTAGGGTGACGARTAGAGTTGAAATCCGGATGTCTGTCTGGCCGTCCGTCCGTCTGTCCGTCTGTCCGTCCGTCCGTGCAACATGTAACTTGAGTAAAAGTTGAGATATCATGACTTGGTACACGTATTTCTTGGCTCCATAAGAAGGTTAAGTTCGAAGATGGGCAAAATCGGCCCACTGCCACGCCCACAAAATGGCGAAAATCGAAAACCTATAAAGTGTCATAACTAAGCCATAAATAAAGATATTAAAGTGAATTACCCATTTGGCACAAAGGATCGCATTAGGGAGGGGCATATTTGGACGTAATTTTTTTGAAAAGTGGGCGTGGCCCCGCAGCCTACTAAGCCTTTGGTACATATCTCGGAAACTGCTACACCTATGTCAACAAAACTCTATAGAGTTGTTTCCATCAGGCATTTTCATATACAGCTCAAAAATGGAAGAAATCGGATAATAACCACGCCCACCTCCCATACAAAGGTTATGTTGAAAATCACTAAAAGTGCGTTAACCGACTAACAAAACACGTCAGAAACACTAAATTTTACGGAAGAAATGTCAGAAGGAAGCTGCACTCAGGCGTTTTTTAAAAATTGAAAATGTTCGTGGCGACGCTCACTTATGGACCAAAAACCATATCTCAGGAAGTACTCGACCGATTTCAATGAAATTCGGTATATAATATTTTCCTAACACCCTGATGGCATGTACCAAATATGGGTGAAATCGGTTCACAACCACGCCTCGATTATCACTTTATCATGCGAGAGTATAAAATATTCGGTGACACCCGAACTTAGCCCTTCCTTACTTGTTTTTTTTTTATACATTACAACTAGTTCATATAAAAGAAGTTGATGTTGATGACCGTAATGCGTGTGCTTCGTCGTCAACGAGTCCTCAACCCTCTTTGAGTAATTTGTACCAGTTAAAAACATTTACTCGCGACAAACAATTATCTCCGAAGGCGTTTTCCAAGATTCTGAACTTTTCGGAACCACAAATTTACCTATACCTACCTCAAAAAAAAAAAAAAAAATAATAAAAAAATGTTTCTACAAATGGGTTTTCAATTAAAAAGTCTTACTCTTACCCGCGGTAAGCAAAACACTAAGCAGTAATTAATTGAATGATTCAATTGACTAAGTGATAATATCCATTTTATGGTATATTTGGTCTCCAAATGTCCGTCTCAATGAAATGTTGGAATATATATAGTACTCTTGTATCATCCTGCGTCGCTTTTTAACGATCAGATGATTAAAATTTACGAATGGTAACCAGTAACTTTTCGTGATGCATTTGAGAATCTGCCATAGTATGTTCAATATTTTTCTCACTCTAAATACAATAAATTTATCTTAAGTACACGCCATGTCGAGGCATTAGTCATTTGACCGAAAGTAGCCCGTTAAGCCAGACATGAGCCTTATAGCTGAAATTAAATTAACGGTAAAAATTAAAATATTATTTTGTAGAGGAGAACACAAGTTTTTGAAATAAATATCGGCAATTTTCAAATATTTTTCCTCTGCAAAAATGATAATCAAATGAAAGTTGTTAAAAATAATCTCACGAATATGTTCGCGATTAAATTCCATGTTTTGGTCGTGAAAAACATTCAAGTTGCTGTTAGGTACACAAAAGCGGTCGTACGTCAAAATGTTCTGAGTTTGCATATCATTAAAAATGTCTATATTTACGATGAAATTGTTTGTCGACAGTTTGCAATACCGGGTTTGCGAAATCACGAAATATACAATGGGTAACCTGCGTATTTTTGTATATATGCCTCTTAATCTACTTGTAATCAGGCACTGACGTAGTTACATCGAAAATCTATATACATATGAAAGCAGAGTATAAAAAGTATTATTAAGATGACTAGAGCTATTTTAGTACATGCATTGAATCAATAACACCTCTACATACATATATATTAATAATACTGGCCTTAGTCATAAACATAAAAGGAACTTGCATTCAGATTATATAAGGTTACAATTTACATATGTATACTACATATATGAATATTAGGATGGGCCAAAAGAAGCGTAGAATTTTTTTTCGTTACATACCGAGATATCGTAGTCAGAAATGACGAAAGGAATTGTGATAAAGTATTAGTTCTTAATATTAATAATAACAGATAGCAAATTGTCGCTTTTGATATCCCATATAAAAAACGAAAAACTGTTTTTAATATTTTGTAGTTGTTTAATGCATTTGAACAAATTGTTTTACAGTAAAAAGTCGATTTGTTCAAAATTTTTAATATTCAAGTTCGAAACCTAATTTTAAATCATAAAAGAAATTTTTTTAAATTCTTTATGTGTTTCCATAAAATTGGGGCACTTAAAATGATAAAACATTCATTGGATAGTCGAAAAAGTCTTCTCGTATTTCTAATCAACCTCCAACTTATTTTTTTTTTTTACATTTATACTGAACTCGATCACTCAGTGGAAGTCTCGACCACTTTTTGCCATTTTTATGCTAGAGACAATATGCCATCAGTGTAAATAGAAATCTCCAAAATGAAAAGGGCGCACCATTGTTGTGCTACACGAAGTGTTACAGCAGTAAACTTCACAAATTTCAATGGTGGCTTGCGTGCCATTCTTCTCTTCTTTCTTTTTTATTTAAAAATTTCAAAATATACCGCATTCTTCATTATTTTCACTCATTTTTGAAGAGCTGTAACTTTTTTTCAACTTCAACAATTTTATTATTTTGGCTAAATGAGGCTTAAAGTCTCACTTTTCCAACACTACAAGTATGTATATGGTATGACACAATGTAATACAATGCGAAAAGACTTTTTCGACTCAATATTTGTCGGAAAACTGAAGGAATATTTTTGGTTTTTCGGCCTCTATGATTGTTAGTGCATGCTCATAGAGTGTAATACATACTTAATTCTTCTCTTCTCTCTTTACTATCACATATGATTCAGTGTCTGCAATTAATAATCTGTAATAATATTTATATCTTGTTGTGTTAACTTCTTAACACCTTCGCTTTCAGAGGTAGATAAGCTTATCAAAGTTCAATTTTTTGCTTGTTTGAGAGAGCGTGTCGCTTCTTTGCAAATACAAATGCAAATACAAATATAGCTATAACTGAATAATATTTTGTATTCATTTGTAAGTGTACTCGTACATACATATGTAATCACAAAAATCTTCAAATTAATTGCCGCAAATCGAAGTGATAAGAACGATGGCTTTTCTCCGTATTTGTTTACTAAATGTAGCATATATGTATGTAGTTAAAACTTAGTTAAACCTTCATTGTATTTAAGCATGTGCAAAGGTCATTTTTTGACATACACAGCGCAGCCAGTTTGATAATTAATTAAACCAGTTCGCCTATAAAATATTGCAGTGTTATGATTACCAACTCGCGCTTTATTGTTATTGCTTTTTTAAAGCACATTGGTGTGGGACTTTGATAAATGTCTGCCTACTTAAGGTTCTGAACTTAGAAAGTTTACAGGTATAAAGTTGGCACATGTAACTTTTTGTTTATTAATGATTTACATAAATGCATATTTTCGATAGAAAAAACAAACTGTTTTGTAACTTAAAGCATAAATTAATATTATCTGAAATATGGCATGTAAAAACAAACTTTTTTATGACCTGTTGCTATAATAGCACCTGCTACTTTAAACTTCAATCATTAATTAAAGATTTTCAAAATCAATAATAAAAGGTTGCCAAAAATCTTACACATTTATATAAAAATGTTTCATTAGATCACAAACACTGCAAGCTGCAGAGTTATTCAAACTTTAATGTTCTATTCTATTCAATAGAATTACAGAACCTATTTTTCTTGGGTATCACATTAAATATGTTCAAGATCATTTACAGCCGCAAGTATTTTAGAGAGAGTCGCCACCAGATTGTACCTTTTGTTAACTCATAAAATATAAAATATCACAATAAACATTATGCAAAGTGTAAAATTACTATAAATGGAACATGAGTGAAACAAATTTTTAATATTGATTAAAACTGGTTGATATCTTACCGCAGAACCTGAAAATGTTGAACATATGTAGTATTATATTTGTAATTTGAAGTAGTGAAGCGTAATCAATAAGACACTCAATTTCGAATTTTTTGATGTAGAGGATATGTAGTATATGAGAATTGAGGTATTAGTTATACTGTGGCTAGATCAAGTTTTACCTCTAATTTATATATCTATTTTAGGCACAAAGATACACTTTTATGAGTAGCACACGCTCTCTCGTTTTTATTGAGATACCTCACATATTCGCCGACATATGTGGCAAAAATTCACCCCGAAGTTCGAAAATCTTTATATTAGTTATATAGGCTATTGATTTAACCCAGACATACAGACATGCTATTGACAGAGAAGTATTATCCCTGAATTTCAATTATATATCTCACACATTGACTGATATTTCCGATCAAAAGTCAACTATAGGTACTGCGGTCGAAAGAAGCTTTGATATCGACGTAAAGCTGAATATTTGATGATTTTTCAAGCCTGAAACCACACTGATAACGTCCAATCAGTTTGTTGACGATGTGCTTTAATCGCTCTTGCGGCTTTGTTGTTTTTTAGATGGGTAATTTCTATTCGAACGTCTTCATGGTCGGGCAATGGAACGTCTAATTCATCATCACCTATTAGGGAATCAGTTTCACCAACTATTGATGTTATGTTTTCACTGACATCTGGCAGGTTGGAGAAGTGTTTTCTCCATGATTTCAGTATGCTCTGGGCATCAGTCACTGTTTCACCTCTGGGGGTTCTACAAGAGTATGCTCCGGTCTTGAAACCTTCTGTTAGTCGGCGCATCTTTTCGTGTAATTTTCGAGCAGTACCCCTGTCGATCTGCTTGTCAAGCTCCTTGTTTTCACGCATTTCTGCCTCTCTTGTTTCGCTTTCCTCTTCAACTCTCGGTAACTATTCCATCGCCCACATCTTGTGGTCGATTGCAATGTTCTTTTTATCGTATATACCTGCTATTCTTTTGCATTTTCCGAAAATCAATGGTTTCGGTTGCAGCTGTACATGCCGTCCCATAGTTCCCTTATACCGAGTTGATGATGAGTGCTCTCAGAGAGCAGTAGTGCAAGTCGAGTAGAAAATTGTTCGGCTGTCTGTTGTGATCGCAACTGCCCGACGTCGAATCTTTCTTATGTTTGTTGATATGCGTGTCTTCGCTGCAACAAGATAGTTATCGAGCAAGGATCTCGGAGTATACGCGCGTTAAAAACACTGGAATGTGTCTTCTGTCTATGACAATATGATTGATCTCATTGGTGGCATTTCGATCCGGCAACCGCCAGGTAGCTTGGAATCTAGTACTACAGATAAACATATTTCGAAGTCTATCAGCCTCAAGCAATTTGTGGATGTTTTCTCATGGAGGCTGAATTTACCGACCGTTGTGCCAAAGATACCTTCTTTGCCCAACCTGGCGTTAAGATGTATGATCATATGTTGTTAAATCACGCTTCGTAATGCAGCGCTTGAGTCGGAGAAATGGACTTACTTATAAAAACGTTCAACAAGAAAGCAATCCGCCTTTTCGCATGAAATAGTTTTAAACTGAACTAATCCTTGATTTTCTAAAATCTTGGCTATTGGTATTAACAAGAAAATTCATGAATGTCACATTTTTCTATTATTTCCCTGCTTTCTCAAAACCGAGTTCTAATTACAATAAAATTGGAGAAACACTTCAATTTAAAAAGCTTTGGGCATAAACCGATAAATTTCCGTGTTTGTTGAAAATCGTGTCAGAGCCGGGCGGAAGTTCTTCCTGTATCAACGTAAAAATTAATATATATAACACAGTTGATTCCATATAAGAGGCATTGATTGCAGAAGAATTTCAAACGGATAAACTTTAATGTTTCCGATTTTTTTTATCTTATGACTTTAATGTGATAAGAGGCTTGAAAAATAGTATTGATTGAATAATTTATGAGGACACTGAAGGCGACAAATAATACCTGCAGAATTCTTTATTTAATTCCACCCAGAAATAGATATATTGGTTGACAAAAAAGTCTTGCGGTAGTTTTACAGTACTACTACGATAAAGGCAAAAATGCATCTCAAGCCGCCAATAAAATTTGTGCAGTATAAGGACCCGATACAGTTTCCATTTCCAGCGCACAACGATGGCTTCAACGTTTTCGTTCTGGTGTAGAGGTGGAGGTCGAAGATGCGCCACGCTCCGGAAGGCCTGTCATCGAAAATTGCTGAATTGGTCGAAAGAGACCGGCATAGGAGCAGCTGTAGCATCGGTCAAGAGCTGGGCTTGGGTCATCAAAAAAAAGTTTATTCAATAAAAATACCGCAAAACTTTTTTGACAATATAATATAATATGTTCCAATCCAGAACCGAGTATTATTACGTGTAACACAATTGTTTTTTTTTTTCTTAACTTAGTGACTCGTATTGTGTAACGGACGTCAATAATAAAAAATTAATACTTAAAAATATTTGTTTAAATTAGTTGATAACATATCCTAAGAGATATTGTTTTTTTCTTTCAGAAATTTTGGCGTGGTTGAATTCGCTTTATAAGAAACATGGTACTGTTTTTCGCATATGGTTCGGTAAGGATCTCATGGTCTTCTTTTCCGATCCAGAAGACGTCAGGCAAATACTAAGTAATAACAAATTGTTGGAAAAGTCCAAAAATTACGAACTCGCCGAGGTATGGCTTGGCAAGGGACTCCTAACCAGTGCTAACGAAGCCTGGCAACGTCGACGAAAATTACTCACACCCGCCTTTCACTTTCGCATACTGGGCGAATTCAAGGAACCCATGGAGGATAACTGTCAAATTCTCATCAGCAAACTGCGCGAGAAAGCAAACGGCGAGCAGTTCGATATATATCCATATATAACGTTATTCGCTTTAGATGCTATTTCAGAGACGGCGATGGGCTTAAAGAAGAATGCGCAGATGCAGAGCGAGTCGGAATACGTGAAGGCTGTGCAGACGTATGTGAAGAATTTAAAAAACAATCCCTTGAAATGGCTTATTTTCCCTTCATTCCCATTCCAGCATTTGTCGCGTCTTGCACAAGCGATCCTTCTCATTTTGGCATCGCTTTGAATTGATTTATCGCTTCACCGATGCGTACAAAGAGMGCATCGAAGCGCTGAAGGTAYTGCATGGCGAAACCAATCGTATGATCAAGTTGCGTCGTCAAATGCTGCAGGACACCAACATACATAACATGGCAGACGCTGAGAAATCCGATGACGTCGGYGCTAAACGGCGTCTTGCCTTCCTCGATATGCTGCTGATATCGCAGTTAGAAAATGGCGATCTGACGGATCTTGAAATACGTGAGGAAGTCGACACTTTCTTGTTCGAGGGTCATGACACCACGAGCTCGGCCATGGCCTTTTGCATTTATCTGCTCTCCCAGCATGAGCATATACAACACCGCACTTACGAAGAGGCCGTAGCAATGCAGGGACGTGAAAAGGAAACCATGCGTTACTTGGAGGCGGTGATAAAAGAAACGCTACGCATTTATCCTTCAGTACCATTCTACTCACGCAAAACGCAAGAAGACTTACAAATCGGTAATATAACAGTGCCAAAGGGTGTCGCTATCAGCATACTGGCCTATATGGTACATCGTGATGAAAATAATTATCCAGAACCCGAAAAATTCAACCCGGAACGATTTTTAGTCACCGACAAAGAGTTGCATCCATTCGCTTTCGTAGCATTTAGTGCAGGACCAAGGAATTGCATTGGTAAATGAAATTAAAATATTTTATTAAATTTTCAGTTCTGTAATAAGTCATTAAATGTCATTTTCTACTCGCTTTTAGGTCAAAAGTTCGCTATGCTGGAGTTAAAGCTTGCGCTATCGTCTCTTTTGCGAAGTTACGAATTGTTGCCAGTGAAGGATTTCGTACCTAATCCGTTGGCAGAGTTGGTGATGAAAAGTGGAAATGGCATACAGATACGTATGCGGCCACGAAAATAAAATACCGTTACCAGCTTTTAATGCATTTATTGATTACTACCATCTTAATTTTGTATTAGTTGTTTAAAAATGTGTTCTAAATAAATATTTTTATACTGTTGCAACCAGTTGCTACAGAGTATTATGCAAGCCGAAAAAAGCTTATAGTTTTGTTTACCTAACGGTTGTACGTATCACATAAGACTAAACGAGATAGTTAGATACACAGATACAGGGTTACATGCATACATACAAATGATCAGTGTGACGAGAAAAGTTGAAATCCGGTTGACTGTGTGTCTGTTCGTCCGTCCGACCCCCGTGCAAGTTATAACTTGAGTAATTGAGATATCTTGTAAAACTTAATATGCAGGTTCCCTAGTACAAAAAAAAATGTCGAGTTCGTGGATAGGCGTAATCGGGCGTCTGCCACGCCCACAAATCGCCATTAATCGAAAGCGTGTAAAGTGCCATAACTAAGCAGTTAATTAAAATATAAAACTGTAACTTAGCAAAGGGGATCGCAGTAGTAAGGGGAACCTCTGGATAAAAAATTTTGAATAGGTGGGTATGGCGCCGCTCTCTAATATGTTTAAATGTGCATACCTCCTAAACCACAAAAGCTAAAACAACCAAATTCGCCTAACACGAATACATATTATATGAACTCCTACCGATATGAAAACCCCGGTACTGTTCCAAGCTACTGAAAACGGGATAAATCGACAACTAAAAGGACCTTGGTAAAAATTGGACGATGAGCGTGGCATTGCCCACAAAAATCGGCAAAATTTAGCACGTGGCATTCGTTTTATATTTATATGTCACATCGACAATAGCCAGGCCTACTTGCAAAAATAATGTCTTTGGTTTGTGCCACCTTATGACCAAAAATTATTTAAATCTAATAAACACTGTTTAAGCCCCTTCAATGTTGAAATTCAGGGATAGAACTTCTCTTATTATATTATGTCTGTATGTCAAAAATGGGATGAATCGGACCAATACTTCCTTTAACCCCCATATACTTAATATACAGATTTTCGAACTCCTGGGTGACTTTGTACCGCATATATCGGCCAATATGTGAGTTATCCCAACGAAAATAAGAGAGCGTGTTTTACTCATAACAGTGTATCTTTGTGCCTAAGATGGATACATTTCAGTGAAAAATTTTCGAACATCCGAGTGACTTTACACTATACTTGTATGATAAGTTGTTTAGAAAGTGACATGTAATAGCATGTGGTATTAGAAAAAAGAGGTTAAATTTGGTCGATACTACCCCAACTTCCATATACTACTACACATAATGATTTTCGTTTTTCTAACAAAACCTGCCTGTCAGTTTTGGAATTATTTAAAGTATTTGTACATATATATAAAAGTGCTTCGATTTCTATCCTCTGGTTGACATTTTAAACCTTAAGGTATTTCTTTGGCTTTCATTCTACAAGTTGCAAGAGTATAAAATGTTCCGCTTGTTTATTAATCGTATGATTTGACAAACGCCCTCAATGTAAAATGCAAACTTCTCTATATACCCCGTACATGGTAAATCAATTTTGTCACGATATTTGTAACACCCAAAGGAAACGTCGAGTATCCTATAAAGTATAGACTAACATAAATGAAAAAATTTACATTCTAAGTCGATTTAGTCATGCTCGTCCATTATATATGCGAAATAGTCTTTCAGTTTGTGAGATATCGACCTGACATTTTGCTGACGTCGTATTCTTTCCAGGAAGCTGCAAACTTTTCGGAACCCTCAATAGTTTCCACATAAACTGAAAGATCGAAATCAAGTGCTTGTATGGAAACTTTCTCACTTGACAAGGTATCTTCAAGACATTTGGCAGAGATTATTAAACGATCTTTCTTGTTTTTATGTATAAACGTCCAGTAACGTTTATACTTTATAATTTTATTAAAGAGTTCATCCAGCAAACTCAATACGTGGAAGTCCTTTTTAAGCATGAAAAACTCTATTAAATTCCAGAGGCACACTATTTAGAATCTAAGAGCGACCCGGTTTCTACTAATATCGTACTATCTATTTTTTCATAGCGGCCATTACTTGACAGTTAATGACAAGGCGTTGCAGTAAAATCGACTTAAAGCTTGTAGAGTTTCGAAAAGCTTTAATCGTATATAATATTAGTTTCTTTTCGGGTAAAAGTGATTTTGCAATTCTTTTTTCTGAAGAACAATAAAATAAAATAAAATAAAATAAAATAAATAAGTGCTAGTAAATTTAAATTTGCACTTTCCTATCGGGTCATGTAATGTAAAAAAGATACGTGAATTCATTGCATACTTTTAGGTTGGCGAACTACAGTTGTGTTCAGTAAGTAAGAGAAGCTTAAATAATTTAGCCTTTTGCTAATATATTTAAATATTTTAGTTCTGCCTCACCAATTGAAATGATTAAGTTTTAAATATAAAGTGAACGGCGAGCTGTTTTAACAAAAAAAAAATTAAGAAATGTAGTAATATTTAGGGAGCTTTATAAACCACACCAATAAAAGATTGTTAAATAATTTTCCTTACTTTTAAAACAAAATACGTTATTTCAGTGACTACTAAAGGATCTGCGAGCTCTACTTATAGTTAGCAACAATCTTCATCGAGCAATGTTTCCAGTTCCTCATCTTCAACCTTTTTTGGCCGCACAGGACGTTCTTCGTCTTTCAAACCAAAATTATTAGTCTTAAATCGTACACGCCACTTTTGGCACATTCGCTGACAAATGTTTCTTTAATTGGAACATTGGGAGACGTGGAATATGTTCTGTCTCATCCGACTAAAGCATGGGCATTCCAAAATATATTGTTCCACCGTTTCATTAACCTCTGCGCAGGCTCTGCCTTTCTAATTTTGTGAAGGTGTTACTTAAACATAAGTGTCCTGTGATGACCCCTACAATACTATTAAGTTTCTTTTTGCCTAAAAATAGAAGTGTTTTGATATGTCCACCATCAACACCACGCAACAGTGACTTCGAAAACCTGAGGTGTTTCTCTAGGGTCCGTTGCTTCAAACGATCCTGGATGGCGCTGATTGGTCTGGGGCAGCTTAAACGAATTATGGCTTGGCTGTCCAAAAAAATATCTTCTGTTACTATTTTATCCTATGATCAATCGGTGACTATGTACATTTCGCTGTTGAAACTGTCGTTTACATAACCATTGGTTCATTCTTCTCTACAGGGGTAGTGAAAACATTGTTTTAAACTCCTAGTGAATTTCCTTTTTTCGGACGCATTGCCAATTCATTATCAACGTCGAGTGTGATATGAGACTGTTGGCCGTCCGCATTACATCATACTTCACTTGAATCTGTATTCGCCGGATATTGAGGTTAATCTCCAGAGGCTTTGTCGATGTAGTTTTCTTTGCGACTATAATTCCCAGCAAGCAAACACGCTGCCTGTGTTCCAGGGGTTGAATGCAGTATTTTTTCGATAATCCCATTTATCACAGCACCGCACCATATGTTAGTATGGAATGGTTGACACTTGGGTAGAGTCATTGGACCATGTGAGGTCGTTAGCTATACTAAGGGGCAATGACTCTTCTGCAGGAGTTCCAGATACGAAGGGGTTTGAAAGTTCTCTATGTGTTCCTTCGAGCTTATTTTTTAACTAAAATAACTCCAATATATTTTACAGAGTTCGAGAATATAATAGTTCTAAAAGAGAGGCGATTGAATTGCGAAAATTTTGTTCTTCTTTTGAAAAGTCAGATTTTTTTCGATATCGACTTTAAATTAGTTGTAATCAGTTTTACATAAAAAGTATAAGACATTGATAATACAAATAATAAAAGCCAAACATTCTTTTTATTAAAAATTATCCTACTCATTTTCGAACCATTTTTCTTTCACCACTTCCCAAATAATTCTCTTTAAATTCGAAAATAACATGTGGCTTTGCTAAAAACAGAAAAACCTTAATACAAAAGCGCCATACACTTCAATCTGCTTCGCCGATCCAAATGGACGCACAGTAAACCCGCAAAATGGAAGGCGCTCTTGTCGCGCATTGTGTACGCCCTAATTTTTCGTTAATACTAACATAAAAGTTCGATTATTTAATATGCAGATGGCATTTCAAATATTTTGTAAAATACACAGCAAATGTCGGCAAGAAATGCAATCAATATTGCCAGCAGCAGTCAACGGTAGCGACAAAAAATAACCGGTGGGCCGAAATTCAAGGTTGCCATTCGCCACGAAAGAAAACCCGAGCGGTTGCTTGCACAAATGTAACTGTATGAAATTGTATGTGCACATATAGGGAATTGAATGCAAAGTCTTCGGTCTTTGTATTGGCAAAAACGATGCCTAAGCGTGCGAATACCAAAGCCTTAGGATTGCACTTCAATCGCCAAACAGAACCGTTGCGTATAAACAATATTATTAGCTAGAAAATACTTACAAACGGCTAATTTTTGGCACTTGTGTATTTTGTTAGCATATGAGTAGCTAGCAGTCAACTGCTGAAACGTTGCTGACGGGAGCGTTGCGCATAAAAACGTGCCACCCTCAAACTCTGCCATATTTGTCACGTATCTACATACAAGTATATAGGTACAGCGAGTTTATATGGGAACTTAAAATTAACAATGCACACGTCAGGCTAACAAAACAGCCGAACACCACATTGTGGAAATTATTGCGTTGCATAATTTTTAAAATTAGTACTCAGACTTTTACCTTATTTGCTAATACTTTGACTTTTGGGTGCATACCGCATACGAATATGCCGTTAAGTATGTAACCAAGTAGGTGGGTAATACAAAAAGTCTATCTACTCAATTCGTGGTTTTTGTAGTACATAAATTATTATACTTGTATAATAACAACTAAGTTAGGTTAGGTTAGTTAAGAGATCGATGCTAATAAGGATCTCATTTGGACTGTTTGGTCTGTTGAGATACCTAAACTTCTATAACGAGTTTTTCAATAAGAGCGCTACAAAGTTTTAAATAAAACAAAAATTTGGGTTTGGGATATCAATGAAATTCCTTATTCCTGTGAAAGTACATTTGATGACATTATATATGCAAGTCGATTTCTTTCGCATGGCCACCACGAGCACGCTTGTAGAGCTCCAGACACTGAACTCAGTTTTCAACGGTTCTCAAGCGT